CACCATCTTTCACTTTAGGATATTTCCTCTTTTTTTTTTTTTTTTGGTGGTTTTTATATCCAAAAGTTACCTTTTTTCTATTCCTACTTATATTAAGAATGACAAATTTAATTCAATGCCTTTTTGGCATTTACTGTTCTGTTGAGATGATTTTTTTTCTTTTAAATTATGAGTTTATTTGCTATTCTGCTTTTTTGTTATTATGGTTGGTTATCTATTTCAGTAATTCTTTATTTCTAGATAGAAAATTCTTTTTAAATTTCCTTTTTAATTTTAGTGTTATCTAGAACTGTTTTTTATTTCCAAATAGTCATTATTTGTTAGTACCCTTTTATTGTGTATTTCTAATTTTGTTTGATCATGTGTAGAGAATGTGTCCTATAAAAGTCCCACTGTTTTTCATTTTGGTCAACTTTATGGAGGTTTTTAAGAGCATATAAAATATTATATGGACCCGACCAGCAGTTGAGCATCAACCTATGAACCAAGAGTCACAGTTCAATTTCCGGTCAGGGCACATGCCCAGGTTGCAAGCTCCATCCCAAGTGGGGGGCATGCAGGAGGCAGCCAATCAATTATTCTCTCTCATCATTGATGTTTCTATCTTTCTCTCTCTCCCCCTCCCTTCCTCTCTGAAATCAATAAAATATATATATTTTTAAAAATTATATGGGAAACAACCTAGAAAGAAGAAAATCCTGCCATTTGCAAAAAAAAAAAAAAATACAATAGGTGGACCTTGAGGGCATTAGGCTAAATGAAATACCTATAAGCCAGAAAGAAAAAGACAAATATTGTATTATCTTACTTATATGTGGAGTCTAAAATAAGAAAAATCAAACTCATAGATACAGAGAACAGACTGGTGGTTGCCAGAGTCAGGGAGTGACTGAACATTTTGGAAATGGAACATATCATTCTTGTATCTCACCAGCTCCAGATCTGTCACTAGTCACTAACCATCCATCCAGCTTACTCCACCCAGGTCCTTGAGAGCATTTGAGCTCAGAGCTCCTGTCCTGGAGTCCCAGGCCATTGTCCCCACTCTTCTTCACGGGAGACTGGTCTAGATTAAACAGGGTTCTCAGCTGTCAGGACAGAGGCCAGTGCATGGGAGCAGGACAAACTTCAACTCAACTTAAGAAGGAACATCTTAACAACTAGAGAGGCCTGCAATGGGGCAGGCTGTCTTGGGAGGAAGCAAGTTGGAAAGAAATGTTCAGTCTCAGAAGGGTATTATTAATTCCCTTCTGGCCTTGAAGTGTCCATTGCTATCTGACAAAGGCTTCAAGGAACCAAAGGAGATGTCACTGAAGGCTGAGATATCCCCTTTGGATCTATAATAGCGTATAGTTGTAGTTTCTATTTGATAGTGGAATCGATGAAAGAAAAGTTAGATTTAACTACGTTTTCACAGAGACGGGCTCCCCTCACCTACTCTGCTGATGTCACATCAAAGCTGAAGGCGAGGAGGGCCTGGGTCACTCAGGCGGTAAAGCCAGAGCCACCCCCACTCTCAGGAGGGCAGCAGATCTGGAGTTAACTCCCTCCTCAGGACAGCAGCTCCTCACTGCACTGGAGAACTGGAGGTGCCCTCTGCAAACAGCAAAATCTAAGTGGGAAAATTACAAGGCAACTTTTCTAGTTTCACCATGTCCCCTACAGGAAGGAAGTAGATTTTAATATAAGATCTAAAAGGCAACATGTTTAAGAAACTGAAAAAAAAAAAAAAAAAAAAAAAAAAAGTACTTCTGGCTAGATGCTAGCATGATGAGCTTTGCGATAAAAGGGTTTGTTTTTTTTTGTTTTGTTTTGTTTTTAAAGAAAGTTAGACATGAATCCAAAAGGAGGCTGGAATCCACCTCCCACCATCCACCAAAATACTCTCTAAGCAGTTGTGAGCAATCACCCTAACCCCATTGCAGATACCAAGATTAAAGGCTTTTCCTGCTCCCTTTCCACCCAAATGGAAAAGTTTATTGCAAAAACGCTTTGTGCAAGCCAAGCAACATATAATCCCCTTGTGATGGGACATCACTGAGACACTGACAAACCCCATTCCCCAAGCTGTGGGGCCTCTGACTGACTGTGCAGGGAGTCCGCCTCGGAGGTCAGAAATGGGAATATTTCATTGTGTCCACCCTCACCCCCAAGTGAAGAAATATTTCATTCTCATTCTCCCTAACCCTTTTAGAATCTAAAGTCTAGACAGTTTTCAGATAATAACCATTAGAGACAGCAAAGGGGAGTGTGTATGCCTCCCAGAGATAAGCGGACGCTGGACTTGTCTAATAAGTTTTCTGGAAAGCTCTCAGAATGCCCTCTGATGAGCATCTGAGGAAGGATATCTGGCAATACATTCCCAGATGCTGGGACACATTTTACTCATCCCTGGTGCCCTCACCCAGTTCCTAGAAACATGGCAGAAAAAGGCCATCCTCTTCCCAAAACTTGTTCAGAAACAACTGCAAAGACAGTCCATGGGAAAGCAGGGGAGTGCGTACCAGTGCCCATCTCAGTCTCTTCGAATTCTTTCATTTCCATTTGCTCCTCAGGTATTTCACAGGACACAGACCTGCACCCAAGCCTAATAAAGATCCTGTTCTCCTAAAATCAAAATTCCTGCTGCAAAATCTGGCAAGCCTTCATTCAGAGATGGGATGGTATCTAGGGTGTGCCCATTTAGAATAAAACTTTGAGATACCATGAATCTCACGTTACTGCTTGTCCCCTCTACCAATTAGATGCTCTGCCTTCTTTCCCATGTCCATGGTGGCCTGGGGCTCACAATATCTCAGTGTCTCCATTTCAGATAGCAAAGGCATTCCATTCCATGGGCTCTCTAATGGCAGAGACCACAGCCTCCATCTTTCTCCACACTTCCTTGGTACCATGCATGGTTATGGCATAAAACAGGTGCTTAAGACTTGAATAGTTACTGATTAAAGAACCTTACAAGCAATAAAAGGGGTACCTACGTCTGCCAGCTCAAGAATACTTGACCTTTCTGCCCTTTGGGTAGAGGAGCATTTGTGCTGGTCTAACTCTGTCCCCTTTAAGACTGGCCAGTTTTGGCTGAGGTACTCACCATCTTGGTGTAACATCAACTCCTGCAAAAGTAGCAGAAGTGTGACCAGGTAAGGTCAGACTCCAAGGCAGTTTTTAAGATGGTTCCATGGATGCCACTCTTCTCACAGGAAGACTTGGAAACTCTACCAAGCCTCTGACTCGATACCAGAGTCTAATTCTAAAACTTCCCTGGGTCAACAGCTAGGGCATACATAAACTCTGGGAAAAGGAAGAAAACCATTTCCCTAAAGCTGGAAAAAATTATGTCTTTATTCCAGTGCTTCTATGCCTCTGATGAAAAGACTCAACCCTGAGTCCCAGAGTGATCGCCTGGAGCAAAGGCTTGAGAAAAATTTCACCTCTTCTCTTGCCAAGATGTGGCTTTTAGAGCCTGGGCTGCTGATGAAAATGTCAACAACGCTCACATCAAGAGAAAAATGGTTGTTCCGTTCAACATTCCAATAGATCAATGGTGGTGTGAGGCGCCCTTCGCTGGGCAGAGAGCGAGCATAACCTCCCTTCCCTGACCAGCCAGAGATCCATGTGGGCAGTAGGGATGCCTGCTCCATAGGGGCTGAATGGGGAATGAAAGCTGAGGCAGACAGTGCCCTCTCTCCTATAGGGGTCCTTAGAGGAGGCAGCTGGTGTGGGTTCCATATTCTGAGTCTCTCCAATGAAACATGGAATCTAAGTTTGGCATCTGATCTCCCTTCAAGATCTCACCAAGCACAAATTAAACTCGGTTCCTAAAGGCACTCAACTGGTTCAATTCCAAATGCCAAGGATCTGAAGAATTGCAGAATCAACTAGAGAGAGGCTAATGTCCCAGTGGGTTTAATTAACCCTAATAAGACCAAGACCCTCAAGTTAACATATAAATGAATGATTGCAGGCTAACAGACCTGACTGCCAAATCTTGATTAAGAATGAACTTGTAAGCCTAGCTGGCGTGGCTCAGTGGTTGAATGTCAACCTGTGAATCAAGAGGTCAAGGTTTGATTCCCGATCAGGGCACATGCCCAGTTGTGGTCTCAATCCCCAGTATGGGCCTGTAGGATGCAGCTGATCAATGATTCTCTCTCAACATTGATATTTCTTTCTCTCCTCTCTCTCTCTCTCTCTCTCTCTCTCTCTCTCTCTCTCTCTCTCTCTCTCTCTCTCCTCTCTGAAATCAATACAAAAATTATATATATATGAATGAGCTCACAAGACTAGGATACTGAATGTGCTGGAATAGCTGAGGGAGGACTGTGCTCATTTGTCTTAACTAAAGTGTCCACTTGAGAATTAACATTACTACCAATGGAGAAAAAAAGTATTGAAAAGCAGCAATGACACAATCACTGGCTTTGCAGTGATTCTGAAAAGGGGGCTGATACTTGTTCTAGAATTAGCCATGTTCTTCCACAGAATTATGGCGTCATCTAGGTGAGTGGTTTCCAAGCTGTGCTGTGAGGACAAGGAATTACAGAGAGATCTCGGGACCTGCTTTAGCTGCAGTAGCTCCACTCGTATCCATTAACTAGGACTGAGGTTCTGAGTAAGATTCATTTAAAGAAGTGGTTTTGCTGCTTGTATCAGATAGGACTCTTTTAATGGCAAAGCTCAGAAACCCCAATTTACACACACACACACACACACACACACACACACACACATACACACAAAGATTGAGGCAAAAATAAAGAAAAAGTTAAGGCTATGCATTTCTAGCACAGCCAAATACAATGTCTAAACAATATCAGCAGGACTAAGACACTCTTAGTCTCTGACCCTGCTTCCTGATGCATCAGCTTCCTGCAGGCAACCCTTCCCATACGGTGGCAAGAGTGAACTCCCACTGTCTCATCTCACATGTCCAGTGATTCTCTTCCCCAATAGCTCTCCAATAGTTAGCCTGCCAAGTAAAAGGAAACTCAAAATGACAACTGTTTAAGCAGGATGTTTATTCTCTCTTATATCAAGAAAGTCCAGAGGTAAACAGTCCAGGAATAAATGATTGCTCCATAGCCTTCAGGAATCCAGACTTCTTTTCTGTTGCTTTGTTATCCACCATAGGTGACTTCCAATTCATAGTCTCATGTGGCTGCTTGGGCTCCAGCCATCTTGTCTGTATTCCAGCAGCATAAAAGAGGAAGGGAATAAAAAGGGTTTACTTCCCTTCTTTTAAGAACACTTTGGAGAAGTAACATATGATACTTCCTCTTATATCGCATTGGCCAAGTTTCACCTGCCTCCCTCTATTCTCCTAACATCCTCTCTTCTATCCCCAAAGTATGGTATCTTTGACTTAACGAGCTTGGTGCAAACATTGAACATCTGGGGCTGGGGGGACAGGACTGAGGCTAAAGTAGGCTTTCCTAAGTGCTTTGATTGATTCGCCAGGGTGTCAGACAAGAATATTAGACGCCTTCACTGTCTCTCTGCGGCAGCCTATGCACCCACATCCTCCCTTGGTCATTAGCTACTAGTTAACCTTTACCAAGTGGCACTGTGGAAAGAATGCTCTAGCTAGTTTATGTCTTTTGGAGTAAAGTAAGAGGAATCTTGCTCCGATGTTTGGGTTAGCAAAAGCACCCGGGAAAGAGATGGACAGCCCCACCATGGAATGTGTCCAGAGCCCTGGAGGCAGACCAGGTGCGTGGGGAGCTAAGCCATTAGTCCCTCTGTCTGATTTCCATCTCTCTGCCTGGCCCTGGTGTCAGGAGAGATTGATTGAGCCCATGCCCTCAGGATGGGGCAACAGTGTGGGAGCTGGGAGGGAAGGATAAGTCAGACAGATGGGGTGTCATGAGATTAGCCAACTCGCCTTCACCAAAAGGGAATTTGGTGGGGAAGGGGGCCCAAGGGGAATGGAGCCTCTGCCCTGCTGACCCCTTCCACAACAATTACCAGAGGAGGCACGATCCCTCTGATATCTATGCAATTAAGCAGATGCGGCTGTGGCTAGCAGGCTAGACCACTTTCTTCTGCCAGCGCGCTAATGGGCCCTAAGAGGATCGCAGATTCTCAGCTGCCAAAGGGAAGTATCTGCCAGCATTTCAGATGGCCTCAAAACAGAAAGGAAAATAAAGAATGGAGATTTAATAGTATTTTGGGAGGGGTCTCCATTTTTTTGATGCAAACTAGAAAGAAAAGCCAAAGCTCAGAACCAAAAAGTTATCAAAAAATTTTTTGAAGGCACACACAGTGCAAATATGAGTATACACAATAAAAATGCTAGCAATCAATTAATCAATGGCTACCTTATTGACCAATTCCTTTGGTCCCAGAGAAGAGCTAGTTTTAGTGGCTCTCAATCAGGAGAGGAATATGTATGTATTTTAATTCTGAGCTTTTACTTTTCATCTTACAATCTTCTTTGTTACTGAAACTCATGGCCATGAATATATAATTACTTTTTTTTATTATGAAATATTTATGTATTGGTTTTCAGAATAAAAGCTACTTAAAATATACAATAAGAATTTTAAAAATTAAAACATTATTGGTATATTATCAATTATTAAAATATATGACAAAGTTAAAATAATAAAAAAGATTATAATAATTAGCTCATTAATATAATATGCTATAAATGAACAGATCAGTGTTACTGACCGTGAATCTCAAAACAAATCAAAATATATGTAAGTATTTGGTATAAGATATAGGTGTCATCTGGGAAAATAAATGACCGATAATATTATCAAGATGGCTGAGTACAGCATGAGAGCAGAAAAAAGGAAAGTTAGAGCTCTGCCTTAAACTTACCCAAAATTCCAAATATATTAAAAAGTTAGATGTGCCCTAACTGGTTTGGCTCAGTGGATAGAGCATCAGCCTGTGGACTCAAGGGTCCCGGGTTCAATTCCAGTCAAGAGCATGTACCTTGGGAGCTAATTGATATTTCTCTCTCATTGATGTTTCTAACTCTCTATCCCTCTCCCTTCCTCTCTCTAAAAAAATCAATAAAAAATATATTTTTTAAAGTTAAATGTAATATGACTGGAAGGAAAAAAATGCCTGGGAATAAATAGACTTACATAATCTATTATAAATTAATGTTAATATTATGTAACAGATTATATGATCTTAAGATAAAATAAGTTTTGAAAGCTTAAACCAAAAGCACAGGGGGAAGACCAATAGATTTGACTAAGTAAAATGTTTACACTTCTGAATTGTTGTGTGTGTGTTTTTTAATCCTCATCTGAGGATATGTTTTTATTGATTTTAGAGAGAGGAAGGGAGAGAGAGAGAGAGAAACATCGATGTGAGAGAGAAATATGGCATGCACCCAACTTACGTATGTGCCCAGACTGGAAGTCAAATCCACAACCTTTGGTCCTCTAACCAATTGATCCACCCAACCAGGGCAAACTTCTGTTTTTAAAACAAGAGAAAGAAATAAAACTGAAATGTAAACAAGTATAAGCAAATAATATTTGCAATGTGTGTAACAATAAAGAGTACTTAGAAGCCAAAAGCAAAATATTGACATTCCCATACACAAGTGAACAAAGGATATTAGCTAGCTATTCACAAAACATTTTTAAGCATCAATAAACATATGTTTAAATTTTCAGTGTCATTAACAGTCAATAAAATACAAATTAAAACTATAAAAAATAGTATTTTATAGCTATCCTATTGTTAAAAAATATTTAAAGATAATACCCAGTCTTGTCGAGAATGCAACATCTCATAAATTTCAGATGGGAAGTATGAAAAGCTTTCAAATATGCTTGAGTCTTATTGACACAACAAGCCAATTCCTAAAAATTTATACTAAGAAAGTAAGAATGTGCTTAAATATTTGTGTACAAAATATTTACCAAAGCATGATTCACAAAAGTAAAATTCTGAGGAAAATGTCCAAAAATGGGGATTTGCTTTAAAAACTAGAGGACAATTTATTCTATAATTTATATGGAAGTGAGAGGGACCACTATAGTCATAACAATCATGAAGAAAAGCAGCTGTATTGGCTGTATTTAGAACTATTTCTTTTTTTTAAAGAGATTTCTAGAACAAATAATAACAGGCTATTAACATTTGGTAAATATATGATAGGAACATGAGTATCACATTATTTTTTGCATTTTTGTATGTTTGAATATTTCACAATTTTAAAAATCTCTAGTGAAAACTTGCTCTCAATATACCACTTGAAGGGCCAAAACTGGCACCAACCACCTTATCAGTTGATGGACACCTACTGATTTGACCATTACCAGTTGGTTCCTGTGGATGGATTGATGAGACAGATGACCTCCAAGGACCCTTTTAATACTGAGAAGCCTGATTTCTATGATTATAAAACTGGGATTCCTGAAACTGGAAAAAGATTTACCATAACAAATTTAATTTTTGAGGGACAATGGTGAGCTTGTGTTCATGTGTCTTATAAGTAAATAAAAGTAAGACCCAAGCTCAGCTAGAAAAATAAAAAGGATTGAGGAAGAAAAGAACAAGGGAGAAAGTAGACCCAGAAAAACATGAGCAAATCCACCTTGGACCCTCAAGATCCAACCACGCTGGATGTGGGGAAGAAATGAGCATTGACAAAGGGGAAATTGACGGACCAGGTTATTAAGAGCTCCACTGTGAAATACTTTGCTTTGCTTGTTTCAACTAAAGTGCTAAAGATCAATTGGCATTGTGGAAATGAAATGTTTCCTCCTAGGCAATCTCATCCACTGCTGCTGAGAATTTAAATCTGTTCAATTGTTCTGGAAGGCAATTAAGCAATATGTATAAAAAAAATTTAAATTTTATATAACCTTTGACCCAGCAATTCTATCTATAAATTTTTTCTTGATAAAAAATGGCCTTTGAGATTTGTGTATAAGGATCTTCATTACCGAGAACAATGAACACTTAGAAAAATCTGAGAAAACAAATACAATATTGAGAGATTGTGTTACAAAGAATAAGGCAGGTTATAAAATAGTCCATATACTCAGATTCCATTTTGAAGAAAGAAAGAAAGAAAGAAAGAAAGAAAGAAAGAAAGAAAGAAAGAAAGAAAGAAAGAAAGAAAGAAAGAAAGAAAGAAAGAAAAGAAAGAAGAAGAGGGAGGGAGGGAGGGAGGGAGGGAGGGAGGGAGGGAGGGAGGGAGGGAGGGAGGGAGGGAGGGAGGGAAAGGGGGATGGAGGAAGGGAGGAAGAGAGGAAGGGAGAGAGGGAGGAAGGGAGGGAGGGAGGGAGGGAGGTAGGAAGGAAGGAAGGAAAAGGAAAGAGACAGGAAAGGAAGAAGAAAGGGAAGGAGGGACTCAGGGACAGAGCGAGGAAAGAAAAAGAATCCCTATTCACCCTGTAACCTTGGACAAGTAGCATAACTTTTCCAAATCTAACCTACCACTCCTATAAACAACTATTTAATCCTATTCCTTGTAAAAATTTAATGAGTAATATGTAGGTCAGAGCTATTTTGCAAACTTTGTCATAATGCAAACTAAAGGTGATGTGAGATGGTGAAGAAAAAAAGAAAAACAAGTTAAAAAAATATATAAAGCCCATATACTCTGCCCTGGGATTTTCTTGGGAAAGAATGAACATTAAAACCTTGAAAGTCATGTGTGCATTTACAAACTAGTAAACAATGAATGCTCAATATGGCCTCCAAAGCCACAGACCCCTCCATACTTAACAGCTCTTACAGTAGCAATATGGGCACTCCAAAAACCTGTCTGCATCCAGCCCTGAACCAAACAGCTCCTGACAAGCATGGCAGCCCAGAGAGTACCCATTGCTCAAAAACATTCAAGGGCTCCCTGTTTCTAGAGAAATTAGTGCTTTATGGCCTGTAATTTGCCTAGGTCCCTGCAAGGAGCCCTGGCAATTTTGTTTTCATAATTTTACATTCTATTCTTAGAGTGAGACTCCCAAATTATGTAAGATTCAAAAAAAACAAAACTTGCTTCTCCCCTTGCCGTAGCTGGATAGTCAAAACACACTGCAACCCAGCCTCAACCTATCTCTCCAAACTCATCTCCCACGTGCCACCCACAGGAGCCCCTCCCTTCCTGCTCCCTGAATGTGCTGCACGCCTCCTGGTTTCTAACCTGCACCTCAGCCAGTACTCTGCTTCCCTGCTTATCTAAGCGTTGCTTTCCACAAAACCTAGTTCAAGGCCAGTTCTGCTGAGATAGCATTCCTGACCCTCCCCCGAACCCAGCTGATGGAATACAGCTTTCTCTTGCAAAACTCTCTATATTGCGATTAACTTATTATATAGCCATCTCCCTTATAATTGGCCAGTTTGTTTCTCCAAATCTCCAAGCACTGGGAAAAGGGTGAGAGCAACAGACCTCCTACATATGGCCCACTCTGCACCTACGTCACCTTCTCATTTCTGTCTCTCCCAGATCTGTATAATTCCGAAATCTCAGCCCAAATGGCAATCCCGAGGCCCCCACGTCAGGCCAGTAATTCTTTTATTCTTTCCACGCTTGCTCTCTTGTAAAGTTTGCATCCTGGGCTGCAAGGAAACTTCAGTATCTATCTGCTTATTCCAGAGCAATCTAGAACCAACCCCAAAGGGTGGGGTCTGGTCATCTCAAATGGGAGCGAACACAGAATCTAAATCTCTCCTGCAAACGAGGTGAGAAATTGGACTCCACCACAGCCAGCTCTGTGTCTCCAAACCAGACGGAGGACATCTGGCCCCTGGAATGGACACGCCATCTCTGAATAACTTCAAAAGGAAAGATGGCCCAGATAGCTTCACTGAAGGCATTTGCTTAATTAGTATACTTGGTTCCTGTAGGAGCCAAAGAATTTCTTGTTGGCCACATCATTTCAATGAGTAGTAAGGAAAGGATGACCCTGGAAAGCTAGAATAACTGGGGACATCTGGGATGACCTAAGCAAAATTCATTTGTGGTCCCTTCTGAGCTAGACTATAAAGATAGAGAAAATGGGATAGAGAGAGCTAGCTTTCATTTTGCATTTCTAGTGGTTCCATAGCATCCCCTTAATGATTTGGATTAGACTGCTTTCTTTAGCTCATATTTATCAAAATGACAGTTTGCTTTCCCCCCCCCCCCCCAAGTCAACTTCCTCACAGATATGCATATTGGGTTCTTGCTGATTGTCCTCTTCTCTGTGGGAGTGATCCTGAAATGTTACAGTTTGCCTCAGTGGATAAGTATGAATGGCCCAGGGGGAATAAGTTTAAGTTATTACTGTTCAGTTATTTATGCCCCCGTACTGTGACAGCATAAGGATGTAGACTTTACTCTCAAGGTACACTAGAAGAGCTCACAGTCTAGTGGGAAAATCTCCTAGTGCACTGCTATCATTTTGTGTGCACATGTCTAAGTGCTATAAAAGAGATATAAATCATGAGTACAAAACACTTTGGAAGCACAAAGGAAATAGCAACTCACTTGATCCCCATGGATGAATCAATCACATTCTTCCCTAAACCAAATGTTCACAGAGGGGAGGGAAGGGAAATGGAAGATAAAAAATTCTAGGAGAATTACATGATTCAGAGACTGATTGGATCAGTAATATGGCACAGAGTTCAAGTTTATTTAAGAATGTAAGAGTTCAACATTTTCTAACCTTGGTCTTGGTTAAATAAAAATATTATTTGTATTTTTTTATTTATTGATTTATTTTAGGGAGAGAGGAAGGGATAGAGAGACATCTATTAGTTGTTCTATTTATTTATGCACTCATTGGTTGATTTTTATATGTGCCTTGACCAGAGAACAAACCCACAATATGGCATATTAGAATGAAATTCTAACCAACTGAGCTACCGGACTTGGGCATGAATATTCTTGACATATGTAAGTAAAGAAATTATAGTTTACTTGAACAACATGGATTTGAACTGCAAGGGTTTATTTATATGGAGACTTTTTCGATAAATACAGTCAGCCTCTATATCTGTATATTTCATATCTATGAATTCAACTATCCCTGGACTAAAAATAGTATTTTCTCTGCAGTTGAGAATCCATGGAGGGGGAAGGCCAACTGTATGCATTGTTTTTTTGTTTTGCTTTTTTAATATATTTTATTGATTTTTTACAGAGAGGAAGGGAGGGGAGAGAGAGCTAGAAACATCGATGATAGAGAAACATCGACCAGCTGCCTCCTGCACACCCCCTACCGGGGATGTATCCGCAACCAATGTAAATGCCCTTGACCGGAATCAAACCGGGGACTTTTCAGTCCACAGACCGACGCTCTACCATTGAGCCAAACTGGCTTCGGCCAGTAATATGAAAATCAACCATTACTCCACGACACCCACAGGCCATGCCCACAAGCCACATCCACCAGCCAATCAGGAGCAAATATGCAAATAAACCAAACAAAGATGGCTATAGCCACAGAGAGCAGAAGGGAGGCTTATGTTTCCCC